ATTTCTTATAATTCAAAGTATGCAGTTTAATTATGTATTTCTGATCTGTCTTAATGAAGGGTAACTCCAATCAGCATTATTTCTACAATGTATTTATGCTGATTGTAAGCCACACTGAGGTTTTAATTTCAACTTGATACTTCATAATTGAGAAGAAAGTACAAATCAGAAAAGCAGAGATGATTTTCAGAATTATTTTGGAGGGGATTGATACTGACTGTGTTGTAATGGGTGAGAGCATGGGCTTTAGAGTTTAGCAGACATGACTCTATTCTTTCTGGCTGGGTGACCTTGGGGAAATTCTTTATTCCCTCTGACATTGAATTTTTTTTCTCTGCAATTGGAATAATAAAATCTATCTGAGAGATACTGCTAGGATTAAATAGGGGGAAAAAATCCAAGTAAAGCATTTGACATAGTGTGTAGCCCATAATAAACATTTAATATGTGTTATTGTTGTTATTTTTAATGCTACTGTTAATGGTATAATTTATGTAATTATCTGATTTCTTTTTATTAGCAAACCCTATCATTTACTAATAGTAATCAAGTTATTTTTATAGATTACATAGGCTAGAGTTGAATTTAGATGTTTGACATGTTTGGTTTCTGAACCAGATTGCAGTCACGTCACTACAGATTCATTTTCTCTTTAAATTGTAAAAATTAAAACAGTAGTACAGACTCATGTTTAAAACGGCAATCTGATCCAAGATTTTGGAGTTTGTAGAACTGATAATGTTCAATGTTCTCCATAAATTCATGGGGCTTAATAGGAAAGTACACAGAATTTTTAGAGCTTAAACAGACTTTAGAGATACTACTCTAATTCAAACTCTTGATCAAATGAGGAAACTCTAGGCAATTTGAATGAAGAATTCAGCTAAGATTCTTTATCTTTGTGTGAGAAGTAGATACAGCTTTGCAAAAAGAAAGAGGTACCTAATAATGATTAAATTGTTACCATTGCTTCAAATTTTCATCTGATTGTTATGAATGCCTATCAAATAAATTTTAGAGCTGCCATCAATGTATATACTATTCTGTGTATTTTCTCTTAATATTATTATCCTGTATTTATTTGTTTATTTTTATTTATCTTTTTGAGACAGAGTTTCACTCTTGTTACCCAGGCTGCAGTGCGATGGCATGATCCCACCTCACCACAGTCTCCGCTTCCCAAGTTCAAGCGATTCTCCTGCCTCAGACTCCCGAGTAACTGGGATTACAGGCAGGAGCCACCACGCCCAGCCTATTATCCTTTATTTTAAAATTGCTACATAAAGTTACCCTGTTTGAACTGCATGGTTTGCTTGCTCATTCCCATGTTGTTGGGCATTTGAGTTTTCCCCACTTTTTCCTAATATAAATAGAACTGCTGGCCGGGTGTGGTGGCTCACGCCTATAATCCCAGCACTTTGGGAGGCCAAGGCAGGCAGAGCATGAGGTCAAGAGGTTGAGACCATCCTGGCCAACATGGTGAAACCCCGTCTCTACTAAAAAATACAAAAATTAGCTGGGTGCAGTGGCACGTGCCTGCAGCCCCAGCTACTCAGGAGGCTGAGGCAGGAGAATTGCTTGAACCCTGGAGGCAGAGATTGCAGTGAGCTGAGATCATGCCACTGTACTCCAGCCTGGCGCCTGGTGACAGAGCAAGACTTTGTCTCAATAAATAAATAGAACTGCTATACACATTTTTTTAAAAAGTAGAGACAGGGTCCTGCTTTGTTGTCCACGCTCGTCTTGAATTCTAAGCTTCAAGCAGTCCTGCTGCCTGGGCCTTCCAAAGTGTTGGGATTACAGGCCTGAACCACCACGCCTGGCCGCTATGCGCATCTTTTATTAGGTTACTCCCCTGCAATTCCCCTACCCCAGTTAATTCCTAGAGGGATAGTCCCACAAATTAATTAAGATATAGTATTACAGTACATTCTAGTTACTGGTAATTAGGCTTAAACTCACTTCACAAGTAGCTTGATATTGTAAACTCAAATACTAGAGATTTCACTAAATATGGGTCTTCTTAGGTGGCTGCTTTTTGTTAGGCAGAAAATCTTTTAACTGCATGGAATGAGTTACAAAGAGAGTTTTTTAAGGTAAAGAAAGGAAGGAAGGCTTGAGAAGACCCTGGGGAAATTTGACTCTTTTATAATTTCTCCTGAGTCTGACTTTCAGAGTGTTATTTTGTTTTCTTACACGGTATATCAGGCATACTCCAATTTTTTAAAGTGGAGATATGCTAAAGTTATCGAAAAAGATGGAAAAAAGGTAGAGATAGAACTATTTAAAAGACAAATTTATAGGTTAGATTAACCATAAATAGATTTCTCTCCATTAGTGCAGAGGTGAGCATGTTTTGGACTTAACATCACATAATTCTTTTGTTACAGAGATCCACTTTCATTTCTCAGACGTTAAATACAGACAGGAGTTTCAGTCTTTATAGCAGTCCTGCTGCCAGATACAATTCAGCCTTGATGGGAAGGAAGTCTTGTGGCCAGATGGGTGGAGATCCATGTACAAGGCCATAAAGATAAAATTGGAAAGAAGAAAATTAAAACTATAAGGGCCTCAGGACCAGGCTCTGTAACAAAGATAAACCTGATTACAGGCAACTGCCTGTTCTGAGTAGGGGCTTCTTTAGAATTATGAAGGAAATGCATCTCTTATTTTTATTTTTAGTTTATTTTTGGAATATATAGTAAATTCATATGGATCAAAATGCAAATGAAAATTCTCCTTCCCAACTGTGGTCCCCAGCCACTCCTTTCCTCTCCCGAGAGGCAACCAGTATTACTGATTATGTAATTATCCTTCCAGAATTATTTCATACATTCTACAAGTAAGAGAGAAAGAGAGAGAAAGTGTGTGTGTGTGTGTACATGAATGTTTCTATGTAACTATACACATGTATTTTCTTATTTTAATGAGTGGTTACAAAATATAGACACTGTTATATACCTTGCTTTTTCACCTAACACCAAATCTTGGAAATTATTCTGTATTCCTAGAAAGAACACTTTTGCATTCTTTGAAAGCACTTTAAAAATGGCATGTGTCTACAGCAGGTTAAAGTAATTCTAATGCGTGGATTAAGCCTATTACATAGTAGCACTAAAGAAATTGTTATTTCCTGTAGCACTCCGAGAATACGGAAAAGAAAAGGAGCAGGTAAGTAATGTGCTAGGCACAGTGGCTCACGCCTATAATCCCAATATTGAGAGGCCGAGGTACACAGATCACTTGAGGTCAGGAGTTCAAGACCAACTTGGCCAACATAGTGAAACCCTATCTCTACTGAAAATGCAAAAAAAAAAAAAAAAAAAAAAAAGGAATGCTTGTTGATTAAATGAGGGAGAGAGTGAATTGCTTTATTAATTTAAGGTACAAATAGGAAGAGGCAGAAAGCTAAAAATTACCTGAAGCTCTGAGACTGTTGACCTAACCCTGACTCTAGGATGGCATCATAAAATGCATAGTTGTTTTAAGAGCATCAGAAATTTTCTTTAAGTCTTCATGTTGGGAGATGTCAATAGGAATAGATGCCTTGGAGGTTGGGGGAAGAATGGAGTTACAGGATGGCCTTCAGACTCCAAGAGTCAGGAGACATGGCCACCATTTCACTGTGATAGGGCTCTAGGACTTGGAACAAGTGGGTTTAGGTCCTTTCTTCAAATGCAAAAAGGGGGGTTGGAGTAAATTATTCCAATGGACCCTTTTAGCTCTTAAATTATATTGTCTATAATTTTGAAATTTCCTGTCTGATCACCAATTTGCACATTTGTTATGCTGAAATTGTATTTGTAAATACATTAAAAATGAGGTGTCCTAGCCGGGCGCGGTGGCTCAAGCCTGTAATCCCAGCACTTTGGGAGGCTGAGGCTGGTGGATCACGAGGTCAAGAGATCGAGACCATCCTGGTCAACATGGTGAAACCCCGTCTCTACTAAAAATACAAAACATTAGCTGGGCATGGTGGCGCGTGCCTGTAATCCCAGCTATTCAGGAGGTTGAGGCAGGAGAATTGCCTGAGCCCAGGAGGCGGAGGTTGCGGTGAGCCGAGATCGCGCCATTGCACTCCAGCCTGGGTAACAAGAGTGAAACTCTGTCTCAAAAAAAAAAAAAAATGAAGTGTCCTTTCTTTTTTATTTTTATTCATTTATTTTTGAGACCAGGTCTCACTGTGTCGCCCAGGCTGGAGAGTGGCACAATCATTGCTCATTGCAACCTCAAACTCCTAGGCTCAGGCAGTCCTGCCCCAGCCTCCTGAGAACTACAGGGCATGAGCCACTGCACTAGGCTCATCCTTTTTCATCTTTTTTTTTTTTCTTTTTTGAGACGGAGTCTTGCTCTGTCACCCAGGCTGGAGTGCAATGGCACGATCTCTGCTCACTACAACTTCCTCCTCCCGAGTTCAAGCAATTCTCCTGCCTCAGCCTCCTGAGTAGCTGCAATTACAGGTGTCCACCACCACACACATCTAATTTTTGTGTTTTTAGTAGAGATGGGGTTTCAACATGTTGACCAGGCTGGTCTTGAACTCCTGACCTCAAGTGATCCGCCCACCTCATTCTCCCAAAGTGCTGGGATTACAGGTGTGAGTCACTTTGCCCAGCCCTCATCCTTTCTTTAAGATAATAAAAAAAACCACACAGGTTATTGGTAACAATGTGATTGTTAAGATAACAAAATTAGACTGTTAGAAATTGTTTGCAATGATTTATATTCCTCACAAAAATTTATTGGCTAAACTGTTAAGATAGAAGCAGATTTACATGGGTAGGACTAACTATCGCACACACTGACACATTCTGAAAGAATTAAAGCTCTGTATTTTTAACCTTTTATCAGATAGATTAAGATATTATAATATTAAAGCTATTCACTAGTAAATATAATTGTTATAAATGATGTATATATGTTTAACAATAATTATCAAAATAGTAGCTAATGGTAAACATAATTCATAGTAAAATCTTTTTTCTTTTTCTTTATTTTAGTTAAGTTTGAGAGAGAAGCTAGTAAATACTGGGACACATTTTACAAGATTCATAAGAATAAGTTTTTCAAGGATCGTAATTGGCTGTTGAGGGAATTTCCTGAAATTCTTCCATTTGATCAAAAAACTGAAGAGAAGGCAAGAGAATCGTCATGGGATCATGTAAAAACTAGTGCTACAAATTGTTTCTCAGGAATGGACTGTCCTACTGTGCCTGAAGAAAAAAGTCATTATGTGAAAAGTTCTGGCTCTTCAGAAGGTCAAAGCAAAACAGAATCTGATTTTTCCAACCTAGACTCTGAAAAACACAAAAAAGGACCTATGAAGACTGAATTGTTTCCTGGTAGCAATGCCAGTTTCAGGATATTAGAGGTACTGTGTTCAAGGGACAAAAATGGGAGGTGACAAATAATATGAAAATGTATATTCTGTATTATTAATACAGATTTTTTTGGTGGAAAATTATCAAATCTAAGCATTCAGTATACTTTTGTGCATAAATAATATTTAAGGGACTCATGTCTTTAATCAGTCAAGTTTTAAGCTTGTGGTTTAAATTTGGTTTTGTTGCTTTTTTAAAAAAAATTGTCTGTTTTCATTTTAATCTGAGGGCCGTTTTAAGTACCAATTAAGTTTTGGCCTTAATTTTTACTCTGTTTCTTATTATCCCTTTTTAGGTGAAATGGAAATAAGTGAGATATATAATTTGCGATAATCTGGTGTAGACCTTGGTCTTTTATTTATAAAACTAAACCCTGTCTTTCTGATTATAAAGGCATGTATATTGATTAGAGAGAGGGAGAATTTGCTAATGAGGAGATAACTTATCAACAATCCTACAAACAAAGGATTTAACCACTATTAGCATTTTACTGACCTCCTTTTTCTTCTTCTTCTTTTTTTTTTTTTTGTTCTTGTTGCCCAGGCTAGAGTGCAATGGTGCCATCTTGGCTCACTGCAATTTCTGCCTCCCAGGTTTAAGCAGTTCTGCCTCAACCTCCAGAGTAGCTGGGATAACAGGCTCCCGCCACCACACCCAGCTAATTTTTTTTGTATTTTTAGTAGAGACAGGGTTTCGCCATGTTGGCCAGGCTGGTTTTGAACTCCTGGCCTAAGGTGATCTGCCCACCTCAGACTCCCGAAGTGCTGGGATTACAGGCATGAGCCACCGCGCCCAGCTGACCTTTTTCTTCTTTTGTTTATATATTGTACATGTATTTTGGGTTTTGTTTGTTTCTATTTAACATGGTGTCATAAGCAGTTTTCACTGTCTTTAAAAATTCTCTATAAATACTTTCATGGCTACAAAATATGTGGAGTACTATAGTTTTACTTATCTATTTTCACACTACTGGACATTTTAATTGTTTTCAGATTTTCTGAACCAAATGTCTTTGGGTATAGACTTTAGCTGCATTTTCTTTTATTGTTTTAGGTTAGATTTTCTAGTTCATAATTTATGAAGATTTTTAATACTCTTAAAACATATTGCCCAGTTGCTTTCCAAGAAGTTGTACTAATACCATTCCATGATGGTATATATCTGTTTCATCACACCCTTATTGATTGAAATATTCTTAATGTTTTCCTCTTTGTTAGACAAAAATTGTACCTTATTTTAATATGCATTTCTTTGATTACTGAGTAGGCCACATACTTCTTCAAAGGTTTAGAATATTTTGTACTTCTTTTGTGTTCTGTCCATTTATTTTCTCTGCTTATCCATTTTTTTTCTAATGAGTCTTACCCTTTATCATATTTATTGCAGGTTTTTTCACAGTGTATTGTTATTTTTTAATTTGGTTTATTTTGGGTTTTGGTGTGTAAAAATTTTAAATGTTTTCATAGTCCGATTTCTTAGTGTTATTCCTGTAATTTATTTCATTGCTTTTGTGTTTAGAAAACACTGCTGTACCCAGAGATCCAGTAAGTTTCTTATCATTTTTTTAATAGAAAATCTGACATCAGTGACAAAAATTTAACCTTGTTTTTTTGATATTTGCTTGTTCTTTTGATTTTAGGTTGGTTGTGGAGCTGGAAATAGTGTTTTTCCAATTTTGAACACTTTGCAGTGAGTTTTTTGAGTTTTTTTCCTTTAGAATTTTACATATTTATGGAATGTTGCGACATTCTGGGAAAATACTGTTATGTGTATGCCAATACTGTTTCTAATTCTTATAAGAACAATGGCTCAAGCAGTTTTCAAAAGAAATGTCTTAACCAACTGTCTACTTTCATGTGAACTGGGAATTACTCTGAAAATAGCTTTTCATAGCCACGGGTTGTCCACCATTGTTTTGAAGTAATTTTTTTTTTTTTTTTTTTTGAAACGATATTTCGCTCTTGCTGCCTAGGTTGGAGTGCAACGGCGCGATCTCGACTCACGGCAACCTCCGCGTCCCAGATTCAAAGGATTCTGCCGCCTCAGCCTCCCCAGTAGCTGTGATTACATGCGTACGCCGCCATGCCTGGCTAATTTTGTATTTTTAGTAGAGACAGGGTTTCTCCATGTTAGTCAGGCTGGTCTGGAACAAAGTGCTGGGATTACAGGTGTGAGCCACCTCACCCAGCCTTTTGAAGTAATTCTTTAAGCTCCTGTATATATGGGTGAGAGGATTAAAAAAAAAAGAGGAAGCGAACCAGGCATGGTGGCTCACTCCTATAATCCCAGCACTCAGGGAGGCTGAGGCAGATGGATCACCTGAGGTCAGCAGTTAGAGACCAGAGTGACCAACATGTTGAAACCCCACCTCTATTAAAAATACAAAATTAGCCGGGCGCGGTGGCTCAAGCCTGTAATCCCAGCACTTTGGGAGGCCGAGGCGGGTGGATCACGAGGTCAAGAGATCGAGACCATCCTCGTCAACATGGTGAAACCCCGTCTCTACTAAAACTACAAAAAATGAGCTGGGCATGGTGGCACGTGCCTGTAGTCAATCCCAGCTACTCAGGAGGCTGAGGCAGGAGAATTGCCTGAACCCAGGAGGCGGAGGTTGCGGTGAGCCGAGATCGCCCCATTGCACTCCAGTCTGGGTAACAAGAGCGAAACGCTGTCTCAAAACAGAAAAAAAAAAAAAAAAAAATACAAAATTAGCCGAGCTTGGTGGCGGCATCTCCATAATCCCACCTACTTGGGAGGCGGAGGCAGGAGAATTGCTTGAACATGGGAGGCGGAGGTTGCAGTGAGCCGGGACTGCACCATTTCACTCCAGTCTGGGCAACAAGTATGAAACTCCATCTCCAAAAAAAAACAAAGAGGAAGCGATTTCATCCTTCCACTGAGCTGTGGACTGCTAAACTTCAGAGATTGTTTACTCCTCTTGGATTCTTAGATGTCATTTTACACATAGAGAATTGAATTTAAAGCTTACAACTTAACCTTCATTTAATCATCCCTCTGAAGCAACACCCTGTGTAAGATGTTTGCATGCCAAATCATTGTGTCTAGGCTTAAAATTGTTTGGAGGTAGCAGCAACTAATCCTACTACTCAAAAAAGCAGAGGTCGGTTATAGCAACAGAGATGTGCTGCTCCAGGCTCGCCCTTCCTGTTCACCATTTCACCTCTGTCTTGTACTGTTTGCATGATGAAGAAACAAAACTCTTCAAACACCTTTTATCTATGGCCAATCTGCCAAGCTCTATTCTTTTTTAAGTTTACACAATAGCATTCACATTATTTTTCCACTATAAAACCAGCATTAGCACATTGCAGAACATTTCTATTAGAGGAAAAGGGGAGGGAGGGAATCAGTCATCATCCCCATCATCCTAACATAGCCACCGACAAAATTTTTGTTTTAATTCCTTTCAGTTTTCATGCATATTTTTAAATGATGTGATCTTCTAAACTTTTCATTATGAAAATTTAAAAGCATCCAGAGCCTGGTGCAGTGGCTCACGCCTGTAATCCCTTTGGGAGGACGAGGCAGGCGGATCACTTGAGGTCAGGAGTTTGATACCAGCCTGGCCAACATGGTGAAACCCTGTCTCCACTAAAAATGCAAAAAGTAGCTGGGTGTGGTGGTGCACACTTTTGTAATCCCAGCAACTCAGGACGCTGAGGCAGGAGAATCACTTGAACCCAGGAGATGGAGGTTTCAGTGAGCCGAGATCACACCACTGCACTCCAGCCTGGGTGACAAAGCAAGAGACTGTCTCAAAAAAATTTTTATTTTGAGATTACAGGCATCTGCCGCCACGCCTGGCTAATTTTTTTTTGTGTGTGTGTTTTTAGTAGAGATGGGGCTTCACTATGTTAGCCAGCCTGGTCTCAAATGCCTGACCTTGTGATCTGCCCTCCTTAGCCTCCCAAACTGCTGGGATTACAGGCGCGGGCCACCGTGCCCTGCAAAAAAATAAAAATAAATATAAAAGGCATTCAGAAAAGCAAAGAGTATAATGAATGTCCATATGCCCACCACCTCAGTTCAACAATTATCAATATAATGCCAACATCATGACACTTTATCTTGGATTATTCAGGATGTATCTCCCAAAATTCAGTATACTCTCTATATTATTATAAACCTAACATAATGAATAGTGAGTGATTCCTTATTATCATTTAATAACCAGCTAATGTGGCCAGGAATGGGTGATGCTGGTAAATGTATAGTTTTGGATGCCCTTTCTCTTTGTGTATTTATCAGTTTTGTTTTTCTTTTTCTAATTTCTGGGCTGAAATTTCCAATTTCCTTATGCCACATAGCTATATTTCTTTACCCTAGTGATCTCTAAGCTTATGATCCACATAAATATACATTGGCAGTTGACTGTGTGTTACTTTATGACAGATCTCAAAATATTATTTAGCATGTCATTTCTTTATGCCTTCCTTGTCTCTCCAACCACTTTTTATATTCCTTAAGGTAGCGGGCATATTTTATCCTAATCTGATTTCCCAGGTTGCCTAACAGTACAGCATAATTAGAGCTCAATATATACTGACTGATTAATAATCTCTGATTCCTCCACTTGCTAGTTGTATTTTTCCCCTCTCTGCTTCTCCCTTCAACTTACAATTGCAAGCTCTTGGTTCCTCACTCCCTAACTCTTCTTGGCTGTATCTTTCTTTGCCTCATACCCGTGTTTCAGAAATCACTGTATCTCAATAACCTGAGATAATTAATTCATTTTTAAAAAGCAACCAGTGATTAGCCTTCCAAAGGGATGATTAGACATTTTTTTTTTCTGCTCAAGAAATTATGTTTTACTACTTTTAGAGAGTATAGGATTAATGTTTTACATTTTCAGAATATTTTACCATAATTAGACCTCTGAAATGGAGAGGTCATATCATTCTCCAAGGATCATTTAATTCATAAACCCCCTGTCAAGAGACTGGTGGTGTGGTGGTAGTAGTGATATTTACCTGTTTGCTGGGAGAAGGGCCAAGGTAGTCAGCTGATTTTACAGAAAGTTTCTGAAAATCATTGGGTGGTCACAAGACATCAACTTGGGCTGCTTTTACTGTAGGAATTCCATCTCAGAGGTCATGCTGCCACCTTGGCAGGACACATGGCAAATGGCACATGCTTTCCTTTAGCTCCTATGCTGTTCTGTATCTATGGGTATTTGGTAACTACTGCCCAAAAGTAGACTGCAGACCTTTTATAATGAGCTAGACATACCAGTGTCCAGAAAAGCATTTTGAGCTATATGGAAGCCTTTTGTTTCTGTTGTTGTTGTTTGTTTTTAGAGGGCGATGTTAGTTTTTAAGTTCCTGGAAGGCAAAAGCAATCTCTTTTAATAATAATAGTGATAATAATAGCAACAACAATTATAATAATGACTAACATTTATTGAGTGCTTACTCTGAGTCAGGCACCTTTCTGGAAACTTTAGCTATAAGAATCCATTCATGTGATAGAATATGTTAGGAAGGATTAAAAAAAAAGAATCCATTCAGTTCAAACAACCACCTGAGATGCCATGTTTATCTCTTTTTTAAAGAGGAGGGAACTGAATTAAAGAAGAGATTAAGCAGCTAGCCCAAGGTCACGCAACTAAATAGTAAAGCTGAGAATCAAACCTTAGGCAGTCTGGTTCCAAAGCCCTTGCCCTTAACCATTAGCCACATAGTGCTATAGGTATCTGAGTGTTTCCTGAGAACATTTCAAATGCATTTCAAACCACCCAGCAAATTACAGGTCACAATTACGTGGATTTCATAGGAAACAACAGGGGAATATGCTGAAGTAAAGTGCTATTTTTATGTGAGACGGATGAGAAAAGACCAAGCAGTACAAGTTTTAACTTTGGTTCAGTACTGGTTAGCTTTTCATAACCAAATCCTATTCGTCATACTTTAACTTATTTGGATAGATCTTAAATTGAATGTAAATCTCTAGTGCCACAGAATGAGTGAATTATGGGTGAGCATAGTTATTCATCAATGAGTTGCCTTTAAGAATATAATCTGAGGCCAAGCACAGTGGCTCACGCCTGTAATTCCCACCACTTTGGGAGTCCCAGGTGGGCGGATCACCTGAGGTCATGAGTTTGAGACCAGCCTGACCAACATGGTGAAACCCCGTCTCTACTAAAAGTACAAAATTAGCTGGGCGTGGTAGAGCATGCCTGTAATCCCTGCTACTTGGGAGGCTAAGACGAGAGAATTGCTTGAACCCAGGAGGCAGAGATTGCAGTGAGCTGAGATCGTGCCATTGGACTCCAGCCAGGGCAAGAAGAGCAAAACGCCATACCCCCAACCAAAAAAAAAAAAAAAAAATATATATATATATATATATATATATGAACTTATAGTTTTATATATATATATATATATATATATATAAACCATATAACCAGAGCCTGGGTCAGATTTTGCTAAATGCATATTTGGGCTTATATTCCATATTTATTTGTTTAGAAAATTTTAGAAGTTCACCTTGCTTGGAATACCTCTTGAGTCAGATTAGAAGTCTTAATGATACGCTTCAAGGCCCACCTTTATATTCTGCCATATACAATTTGGGTCTCAGGATTAGTGCTACTTCTCATCCCTGGCATGTGACTCCCACCTCTAAACTCTTCAACCATTTCCCTTCTCCTCAATTAATAATGTCATCCTCTTCCTTCAGAACTTTTAAGACTTAGACCTCAGGGTGCCAGCCCTCTCCATACCCCTGTAGAAGTTGTATAAAACCAATTATGTCCCCAACTAGACTATAACACCTATGAGACCCAGAACCATCCTCACTGTTTTATGACATGCTGACCCCTTTCTGTGATTCAGACATGGTACTAAGCAACATGATGCAAGGGTTATTTGATACCAGCATACACAACGTCATTAGCAGGAGTATGGGCCTACAAAATTCAGAGTATATGGCTGCCTTAAGTAACCATGGTCCAGCCATCATTACTGAATTTCAAATAAAGACCAAACAGAACACATTTAACTTGAGGAGAAGCCAATTAAAAATCATACTGCCTATTGTCCAGGAACAGTGGCATTCATCTGTAGTTCCTGCTACTCAGGAGGTTGAGGCGGGAGAATCACTTGAGCCCCAGAGGTTGAGGCTGCAGTGAGTTGTGATTGTGCCACTGCACTCCAACCTGAGTGACAGAGCGAGACTCTGTTTCAAAACAAAGCCGGCGTGGGGAGGATGAAAATATTTATTAACAAGTGAAACCTATAGTTTCCTTTCTTCTCTAGTTTGAGCATATCTGGACTCCAGATTTAAATATTTCTTCTGGCCAAGCACAGTGACCCACAGCTATAACCCCAACAGTTTGAGAGGCTGAGGCAGGATCATTTGAGAACAATAGTTCAAGATCAACCTGGGCAGCATAGTGAGACTCCATCTCTGCAGAAACATTTTAAATTAGCTGGGGATGGTGGGGCACATCTGTAGTCCTAGCCACTCAGGAGGCTGAGGAAGGAAGATCGATAGAGCCCAGGAGCTCAAGGTTATAGGTAGCTATGGTCACGTTACTACACTCCAACTTAGGCAACAGAGCAAGACCCTGTCTCTAATAAACAAATAAATATTTCTTCCATCTTCATAGGAACTCTCCAGAGTCCTTTCTTTATTGTTGTGATTTTGCTTCTGGAGCTGTGGAGCTCGTAAAGGTAGGCTACTCCCGGGAATCATACCGACTAATGCCTGTGGTATTACCCTAGAACAATAAAAGTTGTTTTGATTTTAAGATCACTAGAGGCCCGGTGTAGTGGTTCATGCCTGTAATCCCAACACTTTGGGAGGCCAAAGTGGGCGGATCACCTGAGGTCAGGAGTTCCAGACCAGCCTGACCAACATGGTGAAACCCTGTCTTTACTAAAAATAAAAAATTAGCTGGGTGTGGTGGCACACTGCTGCAGTCCCAGCTACTCAGGAGGCTGAGGCAGGAGACTCTTTTGAATCCAGGAGGCAGAGGTTGCAGTGAGCAGAGATCATGCCACTGTACTCCAGCTTGGGCCACAGAGCGAGACTTCATCTCAGGAAAAAAGATCACTAGAAAAGCTAACAGCATACAAGAAATGACCAGAGAGGGTACTGACCTACAAAATTCAGAATGTATGGCTGCCCATGAATTATTGTTGTCCAAACAGAACTTCTTTAAGTTCAGAAACAGCAACCCAGAGCAGGCCTCTAACTACTCTACCTGCTAACTCAGAAACCCTACCCTCCGTCCACTTTTAAAGTTAAAGAGGGATTGTGAAGGATATTTCTTATCAAGGCCAAGGGCTAGCCTTAATATTTTTAGGGCAGCTTGAAATAAACTAACAATACTGAATTGGAAAAAAGTGTTCAGATTGACAGAGGAAAGGCTTTTGGGAGAAAAGGTTAAAATTTTGACCTTTTTATTTAAAAAAAAAAAAAAAAATCCCGGAAGTCTACTAACTCCTCTTTTTGCTTTCTGTTCCTTTATCATGACAGTCACACTCGTCCTACAGAGCAGCCCAGTGTTTTGCCTTTGTTCATGATGTATGTGATGATGGCTTACCTTACCCTTTTCCAGATGGAATCCTGGATGTCATTCTCCTTGTCTTTGTGCTCTCTTCTATTCATCCTGACAGGTAAATGAAGATGAAAGGGCAAAGCAGATGTGTAAAGCTCCTTTATCAGTAGTGGTTTTCAGAACTATCAAAGCAAAAATGACAATTTTTGAATTTATTATTTAGTGAACGACATTATGTATAATATGTAGCCTTTTAAAGGCAGTTTTTCCTTTCTTCGTACTTTTAGAAAGAAACTGGTCAGACTACTTCATTAATGAGCTTTCTGTCACTGTCAGAATGAAGTGAGCATATTCTGGCAAGACACATACCTATTAAAAGTGACAGTGCTTCAAGGAAATTACAAATTCAGAACAACCTAATAGACTCCCATGAGGGAAATTCTACTTGGTGATCAGAAACAAACATCTTTAGTGTAGTGTCTTCCTGAATGTTCATGAAGAGGTGGGGTTGGGATCTGTTTGGCTTCACAAAGGCCTGTTGATGTGCTTTAAAATTTTTGTTTTAAAGAAGCACACTAGGGAATAAGAGTTATTAAGATTTGCCAGATTATTCTTGGATCTTAGCCTGATGCCATCATTTAAATATTTATGACTTAAATTTTCATACATTGTTTTAAAATTAGAAATATAGCTTTTCTCCAGAGAGAAAACATAAAGAGATATTACCAGCAATTAAAATGAGTATCTTTCTTAAAATCTTGCCACCTTCTGTGTATGAAAGTGCATATATGGTAAGTATCAGGTCTGTGCTTTCACAAGGTTTCTTAAAATTGGGTTCTCACGGTTTCCTGGTAGAAGATACAGACTTGCCTGTCGTCAACTACTTTTTGTTTGATAAGTGTGACCCTTTTCCATAGAAACTGAGTTACTATGTCCTTCTTTCTTTTCAATTAAAAGGCAACTAGGACCGTTTACAATTCTTTTACTTCCCATTCAGAAATGAGTACTTTGATTACTTGTAGAAGAACAAATTCCATTTCCAAATAAATATGAAAGAAAGATACATTAGCACCTAGTGAAATATGTCAGGTTTCATGAAGCTACTGTTTCCTCCCAGTTTCTAGAACCTATTTCTTCCTGCTAATCTGTTTAGACTGTAGGCATTATTCAGGTCATCTATGTGTTTTGTTTCCTTATATGAACAGTTAAAAGGATAGAGTAGGTGGATGAGAACAAGATTTCCTATTTGACACCCATAACAAGAAATATTTAAATTCTAAATATGACCACAGAAAGACTATTTGAAATTAGTTCAGATAATGTATTTTCTCATGATTTGAATTGAATGTTAAAGAGAAGAGAAAGGTTGGGTGCAGTGGCTCACTCCTGTAATCCCAGCACTTTGGGAGACCGGGGTGGGTGAATCACCTGAGGTCAGGAGTTCGAGACCAATCTGGTCAACATGGTGAAACCTCGTCTCTACTAAAAAATATAAAAAATGGCTGGGCTTGATGGCTCACATCTGTAATCCCAGTACTTTGGGAGGCTGAGGCAGGAGAATCGCTTGAACGCAGGAGGCAGAGGTTGCAGTGAGCCAATACCGCACCATTGCACCCCAGTCTGGGCAACAAGAGCAAAACTCTGCCTTAAAAAAAGAGAGAGAGAGAGAGAGAAAGAGAGAGAAGAAAAAGCAAATACCTTGGGAAGATCACTTCTATAATACAGTGTTTCATTCTATTTATTATAAAATTAATTCAGATGTATCATGTCAGTGGCCACTGGCTTACCTACATAGAAATGATCTAGAAATAAGGTGAATGAATAGAAAGGGGGAGATACTAACTTTTTTTAAAAGGCAAGGCAGGCCAGGCATGGTAGTTCACACCTATAATTGCAACACACTTTGGGAGGCCAAGGCAGGAGGATTGCTTAAGGCCAGAAGTTCAAGATCAGCTTCTCCAACATGGTGAAATCCCATCTCTACTAAAAATACAAAAATTAGCTGGGTGTGGTGGCACATGCCTGTGATCCCAGCTACTGGGGAGGCTGAGGCAAGAGAGTAGTTTGAACCCAGGTGGTAGAGGTTGCAGTATGCCAAGATTGTGCCACTGAACTCCAGCCTGGGCAACAAAGCGAGACCTTGTCTCAAAAATAAAAAATAAAAGGCTGGATGCTGTGGCTCACGCCTATAATCTCAGCACTTTGGAAGGCCAATGCTGGTGGATCACTTGAGGTCAGGAATTCAAAACAAGCCTGGCCAACGTGGTGAAACCCTGTCTCTAGCAAAAATACAAAATTAGCCAGGTGTGGTGGCACATGCCTGTAGTCCAGCTACTTGGGAGGCTAAGACAGAAGAATTGCTTGAACTTGGGAGGCAGAGGCTTCAGTGAGCCGAGATTGTGCCGCTGCATTCTAGCCTGGGCAAGACAGAGTGAGACTCCGTCTCAACCAAATAAATAATAAAAATACAAAAATTATTCAGGCAAGGTAGTGCATGCCTGTAATCCCAGCTACTTGGGAGGCTGAGGCAGGAGAATGGCTTGAACCCGGAAGACAGAGGTTGTAGTGAGCCAAGATCATGCGACTGTACTCCAGCCTGGGCGACAGAGTAAGACCCTGTCTCAAAAAAAGAAAAACATAAAGGCAAGACAATCTCTATAGGATCACTTAGGACTATTGTAGTAGATTCAACCCCAGAAAAGTTCTAGAAATGTGAAATCTTGGTAGCCTGGAAAATTCAGGCACAAGCTGGAGGGCCCAGCTTAAGTGAGAATAAATTGTAGGTGGCTACAAAAGAAGAGCAAGTTGTCCTTCTTGTAACTGAAATGAAAGTAGAAAAGATTACAGAGCCAAGCATAAAGGAGGCAGTCAGTACATTTTTTATCTCTTCTTTTCCTTCTCATCTCCCTCTATCCAGAGATAAGTGAAGACAGCAGAGTTGGCTCAAGTAGGATTAAGAAAGAAAAGGGACTTCGTACCATTCCTGTCTTGTCCTTCTCACCCCAGCCCACTCCCACCTGCAGTTCTCAGGAACTGGCTCAGGAACTGCACTATGAACCAGGATGAAATGATCAAGAAAATTAGCTCCCGCTCCTTGCCTCTATTTTCAACCACAGACATTAAAGGATAGTTGGGAGGAAAGGATTTGCAGAAGGAGGTGTACATTTTTTTTTTTTTGAGACGGAGTTTCACTCTTGTTACCCAGGCTGGAGTGCAATGGCGCGATCTCGGCTCACCGCCTCCTGGGTTCAGGCAATTCTCCTGCCTCAGCCTCCTGAATAGCTGCGATTACAGGCACGCGCCACCATGCCCAGCTAATTTTTTGTATTTTTAGTAGAGACCGGGTTTCACCATGTTGACCAGGATGGTCTCGATCTCTTGACCTCATGATCCACCCCCCTCAGCCTCCCAAAGTGCTGGGATTACAGGCGTGAGGCACCGCGACCGGCCCCGGAGGTATACATTTTAAAGTGTTGTTTTTTTTTTTTCTGCATTTTACTTTCATGCTTGTTTGACTAATAATTACAGAAATATTTTGCTCTGTACATAAACCAGTTATCCCAAAAGTGAATATTTTAAAGTTTAGATACGATTTTCTTTCATTGGCAAAGCCTACAATATAAGCACAGTGTGAAAATAACCTGTCATAGAATAAACAAACAATAATTTTGTTTTTTTCTTTTATGTCCTTTTGTTCTAGTTTTTTTAAAGGGCTTTTCACCTAATCATGCCACTTCCTTCTGTCCTACTTCTCTTGTCTTATAGCTGCTTTCATTTTCTCAGTATCTACTTCCTTCATAACATGACATAATCTGGCTTTTACCTCACTCTTCCACTGGACAATGTTTTAATTGGAAGGAATTTACAGATTATCTGATCTAAACTTTTCATTGTTTTCAAATAGGAAAACCTCAGCAGCTTTAAGTAGTTTAAACGAAGCAGAGACAACAAGGACTTAGCACAGAAGCTGCCATTTATCATTCTCTGCCCATTACAGACATTGATAATCGATTTTGTACTCTGTAACTCCCATTGAGCTTTATGAGTCCTTCTCAGAGCTCTGCAGGCAGCCAGTGCTGTCACTCAGCATTAATATGAGATCTGAAATCTGTGCCATCCCTGGCCCATAGTCACACATAAGGCCATGAACATTTAGCCAAAAACACTAAATCAGGAGCAGCTATAAGGGGTTATGTTTGACTGGAAGCCAGATAAGTAGAATAAACAGTAAAGGAGAAAAGCAAAGCCTCCCCGCCGTTGAGTTAGGATTTGGAATGTGAATAAAATTTAAATAGAGAGTAAGGAGGAGAGAATTCTTTGAGGGGAAACCATGTGAGCAAAGGCAGAGGCTGCTCAAAGCCAAGCATGACAGTTTGGCTAGGGGAGCTGCTTCAGATTGGAAAGCTGTTGAAAAGATTAATTGGGGTCATTAGATGTCTTAAGAACTCAACTAAGAAATTAAAATATTATCCTATGGATTAAAAAAAATCATGGAAGTTTTTAAGCAAGGAGATGATTTGACAAAATTATCATTTTAAGCAGAATTATTCATTGATAACATGCAGGAGGGATTGACAGGGAGAATAATATAGCATGTTAGGAAGCGGATTTGTTTCCAGGCCTAAGGAGATAGGGGTTGGTACTAAGGGAGTACCAATGGGAAACAAAAAAGACAGGAAATATCAAAGATGTCATTAAAAATAAAAATAAAAGAGGACATAGAATTTTATGGCCACATGGAAAGGATAGGTGAAAAATAATTCCTCTTTCATGAGGTGAATGATGGTACCTCTGAACTAAATAAAGTCAAAAGAACAAGCTCGTTTTGGAAGAAAGATATTCCCTCTCTAGATATGTAGGGCCAGGAGCGGCAGCTCACGCCTGTAATCCCAGCACTTTGGGAGGCCGAGGTATGTGGATCATGAGGTCAGGAGTTCGAGACCAGCCTCACCAACAACCCCATCTCTATTAAACATACAAAAATTAGCTGGATGTGGTGGCACAGGCCTGTAATCTCAGCTACTCAGGAGGCTGAGGCAGGAGAATCTCTTGAACCCAGGAGGCAGAGGTTGCAATGAGTCAAGATAATGCCATTGCACTCCAGCCTGGGTGACAGAGCGAAACCCCATCTCAAAAAAAAAAAACCAACATATGTACAACTTGAGATGCTTTGGCATATTTTTTATCTCGCAAGGAAAATGAAGCACACTCAGTTTTTGTCTATCTCAGAACTACCTTAATTTGCTGTAAATACCAGGAAACATCTGTGGTTTTGAAGTTTAACTTTGACATCATACATCAAGCTCTGTGAAGTTACCATTCCGGACATTTGGGTTATTTCTTGATACTCTAGGACTTTTGAATCTAGTCATCTAACAAGTTGGTATTCTTTTCTCCTTCTTTACAAAATACTTGTGTTTTTGTTACCCTTACGTTTATGGTTTAAATTTCTTTGGCCTTATTAAGCTTTTCTTATTTTGTCTTCAACAAAGTTAAATCCAGCATGTAAAACAAGATTTCCACAGACTGGGTATCTTTTTAATACTTTGTTTTCAAAGGATGCAGGATGTTGTAAACCGACTCTCCAACTTACTGAAACCTGGGGGAATACTGTTATTTCGAGACTATGGAAGATATGATAAGACTCAGCTTCGTTTTAAAAAGGGTAATAGTATATCAGTTTGAGATTGTTTTTAAGTGTTCTAAAGAATGCCTTGTTTATATTTCACATCAAAGTATTTAGGTTTTTTTTTAAAAGGAATGCCTTTAAAAGTTTCTCTTTTCACATATTTTTCAGGACATTGTTTATCTGAAAATTTTTATGTTCGAGGAGATGGTACCAGAGCATATTTCTTTACAAAAGGTATGCTAATCTACAAGAGGAAATAATTGCTCAAAATTGTTCTTGCTGGTTATTATCTCATTGGTTATAGCTCAAAAGCTATAAAACTGAGGCTTCAGTCATTGATTAAGCATGGGATGTCTTCATACTTCGATGCTTATAACTTATATCTACATAAAAGGTTGAAAATGGCTCTTTACTTTTTAATCTTTTTCCAGTTAAAACTGCTTTCAAAACCGGGCACGGTGGTTCACGCCTGTAATCCCAGCACTTTAGGAGGCCGAGGTGGGCGGATCACCTGAGGTTGGGAGTTCCAGACCAACCTGACCAACATGGAGAAACCCCCGTCTCTACTAAAAATAGAAAATTAGCTGGGTGTGGTGGCGTGCGCCTATAACCCCAGCTACCTGGGAGGCTGAGGCAGGAGAATTGCTTGAACCCGGGAGGCAGAAGTTGTGGTGAGCCGAGATCATGCCATTGCACTCCAGCCTGGGCAACAAGAGCAAGACTCCGTCTTAAAAAAAAAAAAAAACTGCTTTAAAGAATCTCTTGTTTTATCCTCATACCCAAAGGAAGATGAAGGCTATTCCATTTTGGAGATATTGTTAGCCCAGATATGAAAAAAACTGATGATATACCACAGCTAAAGGAGGAAATTTGATAAGTTTATAGAAAATACTTACCTTGGGCCGTCGCAGGGGTGCTTACCTGTAATCCCAGCACTTTGGGAGGTCAAGGTGAGAAGATTGCTTGAAGCCAGGAATTTGAGACCAGCCTAGACAACAAAACGAGACCCTGTCTCTACAAAACAAGTTTTTTAAATTAGGTGGGCTGGTGGTGCACACCTGTAGTCCTAGCTACTTGGATGGCTAAAGTGGGAGGATCACTTGAGCTGGGGAGGTTGAGGCTACAGTAAGCTACGATTGTATCACTGTGCTCCAGCCTGGGCAGCAGAATGAGACCTTGTCTCTAAAAAACGAATACATATTCAAAATAGAAAGAAAGAAGGAAAATTGGCCAGGTGCAGTGGCTCACACCTATAATCCCAGCATTTTGGGAGGCTGAGGCAGGCGGATCACCTGAGGTCAGGAGTTCGAGACCAGTCTGGCCAACATGACGTAACCCTGTCTCTATTAAAAATATAAAAATTAGCTAGGTATGGTGGCAGGCACCTGTAATCCCAGCTACTCGGGAGGCTGAGGCAAGAGAATCGCTTGACCTAGGAGGCAGAGGTTGCAGTGAGCCAAGATTGCACCATTGCACTCTAGCCTGGGCAACTGAGCGAGACTTGTTAAAAAAAAAAGAAGGAAAATTGCTTATCTCTAGCCAATCTTTTTTTTTTTTTTTTTT